TGTGCATCTATAATACTTTGTTTGAATTGATGAGATGATTCCTCTTTTATATCATGGATTACTCTACCACGTAAAAATTACCACCAGCAACGCCTGGCTGCCAAGTGAGTTATTTGGCAACTTTCTTGCGTTACACAACACTGTTCAAAGGAGAATCATAGCAAAGTGGTTTGCTGACAGTCTGGACAGGCACGTTCAAGAGACAAACGCTGACAGTGCACTGAAAACAATAGCACACCATTTTGTTTTTCGATTGTCGATTTTGTGTTCTGAGACTAAATTTCCCTGTATGACTTTTGTATAAAAATCCACAACTGGGCAAGTTATTCACATCTTTGTCTTCCATTGCTATGCAGATTACATGGAAGATGTCATATATAATCATGTCGCATTATTCCCCTGTACGTATCTTCATGGAGTGTAATCATGCTAGGTTGACAAATCATAAAATGACAGAACCCAGAGAGCCATGCATAAGAAAGTGAACAAGAGGTCATACTAGAAAAAGTAGAATATGTTGTGTTCTTTTCATATGTATGCAACATCAAAGGTCACCTCTCAATACACCTTTTCAGGTCGTATACAACCAAAACACACACACCCACACACACACGCACAGAATGGCCCATATTTTACAGATTACAACAGACCAAGTGTGCATGACCATGAGATATGTCATCAATGAAAAATGTTTTTGTCACTAAACTTTTATTTATTAAATGTGAACATACAGCATAGTATAAATGTACAATAAAAAAAAACAATTACAAGAACTACATTGTGAATCATGAATGTAACTCCCAACCCCATCACTCCAAGCCATAAGAGTATTTTGTAAAGATGCACTAGTTTCATAGTGTTTCAACGAATGCGCTGTATTTATTCAAATTCGAGATGCAGCTTGCAGCCGAGAGTCAAGGTCGTACCTTTAATTACAGCAAGGTTTCACTTAATCACCCTTCCAACTATACTTTGTATACAAGTTTTCCTAATTGGTTAAGTGAATTTTCTAGTTGGAATTCACCGTACAGTTATGACGATTGTCTGAAAAAAAGCTAAGAAAGAACTCCCCTGCACTATACTTGAGGCATGAAATAGATATAGGTGCATGCATATAACTGTAATTGTCATATTCTGAATGATTTCAACAAAAATTATCTTCACTAATTTTCAGGAAGCTGTTTTCTTGATAATTTGTCTGTGAACATAGTTGAGTCTATAAACATCATAGTAGAGAAATCACCTTGATGTTGCTTATATTCTATAAGTGTCTCAACTCCTGTGTTTAGTCATACCCAATTAATCAACTCTGGTTATAAGATGGTTATAGGATGCAAAGTGTTCCCGATTTAACAAGGGTCCACCCAAAGTACATGGTACACATGTGCCAAAGATCAAATCAATCGAAGTAGTGAAGGTCAAATAGCAAAATTACAAAAATATTTACTAAAATTACATAATTGAATCTATTGTTACAAATATTCAAAACTAATAGTGGTCAACTAAGGCTACACATATGCATCAAAACAATTGAGTAGCATTTTTCAATAAGTTGAACATTGAATTGGTAATGCAAAGCAGTCGCATCTAGAAAATAACCCTGAATACAAACCAGTCAGATCTATTAATTATAACCAAACACATACGTACCATGTTTAAGTGAGATCGTGAAAATAATTCATAAAATATCTAGGTAAGTCATAATTGATTAATTTATACAAATTAGTCAATTAATATGCACAGATTTAAAACCAAAACTGTTTAAATCTGGAGATTACCACAAAGCAGCTATGTTTGAAATATAACGAGTCTTTCTTGACATACAAGTGGATTAAAATTTTTGATGTGAAAAATAATAATAATAATGTGTAATTAATAAGCATGAATTTCAGCCCGAAATCTGTGGAATATCCAAGCCCATGTATATGTACAATGTTCATTCAAATCTGTTAAGTGATTCTTGAGATATCTGAAAGTTGTTAAGTGTGTGCAAATGGCCTAATTAATATGCAGTTATCACATGTCTGTGGTGCAAATTATATTAATAGTGACATTCAGCATAGAATATTAATAACTGATATTTCACAATAAAAGTGACATTATGCATGCTAAAGTCTGCAAGCTCAAATAGGACCTGGGAAAACAAAGTCAAAACCAGAATTTCAAACTGAATAACACTAATCACTCGCACAGTGCAATGACAATAACTCAATAGTTCATTTGGCAAAAATATCAAGGAAAACACTAGTGATTGTAAATGCAAATGCGCATCTATGCTTAGATGTTTCAACTCAATTGTTATAAATTAGCATATGATTTGTGAAGCATAGTTTCATAAAATCATAATTTCATTTCTATTTTTGACACTCAGAGTTGGTCATGGGATAAAAAGGATACCACCTGAGATGCTTATGAACGAGTGATATCAGGTGATAACCTCACGGTATCACCCCTAAACTAATCAGGACTGGATTGTTACACAAGTTTTATTGAAAGCAAACGATTGATAATTGAGACACATGTGAAACTAGCCACTTAATACACACAGATTTTCAACAAAGAGCAAATCAGGTCTGCACATTATCGAAAATCATATACATTTCAGTGAAATTCAGTGGTTAATGAGATATCAGTAGAACACACACATACAGGCGGTAACTAAAAACACTCGTAAAGAAGTGGGACAAGTCATACAGATGGATTCAACACAAATACTTGCTACACTCGCATATACTATTATAAGTGAAGAATACCAAGCTAACAGAAGAACTGTTGAGTATCTGAGATGACCAGTTAGCTTAAAACAAGATGTACTGATGAAATACACTAAACTTCATGCATTAATTGGCATGATACAGCTGATGATAGAGGCAGACACTTATTCATCACTTGCTGTTTACTTCAATATACACCAAACAAAAGCAAGACTTTTACAACAACAAAAACATGCTTCTTGCAACAACAAAAGAACAAGAAAACAGCAAATGCATTTCTCATCATGCTGAACAAGAAAACAGCAAATGCATTTCTCATCATGCTGAACAAGACAGAGTCTGCAAATACTTTGACTACCGGTATTTGCATTACGATTTATCAGTAGTGATATTAACATTAGAAACAAAACAAATAGTAAAATTTGTAGAAAAAAAAACAATCAAAGCAGGGAATTACAACAGTCACATCTTAACTTGTATGATACAAACTACAACTACATAATTTCACTATGGTCAGGAAATTCAACAATTTACAAATTATTTACAGTTTTGAGAACACCCAAATGTTCATAATAATTAAATAAAACTATCAAGACATTTTCCATCATACTGTGTCTGCTAAAAATAAAGATATTCAAAACCTACAGTCAGAATCAGAGTTAATTAGTAGCAAGAAATGTACAATTCATTAATATAATGAAGAATCAACGGTTGTCTATTTAATGATATTACAATTCGGACCAATTCGGGCCTATACTGTAAAATCCGTATTAGAAGCTGCGATTCTATTAAAATGTTACAATGCAACATAAGTGATGCCGTTTTTACTAGATCATCTACAAATATGAGAGACGAGAATCAATTATCCAAAAAGAATGGGTGCAGCTTCTATTAGGGATGCAGCTTGTAATTCAGATTTTACAATAGTATGAAATAAACAAATATTATAAATAACGAAGAATCGCATGCTTGCTGGATTTATCCACACACTGATAAAATCAATTCTCGTTTACAACACCAGGAAAGACGTAGAAAAGCAGAGAAAATATAAACACATTCCAAACAATTTTGATTTTGATTTGAGATTTTATAAGCATAAGATATTAATGGAGTGATCTAGATATATGACAACTCAAACGTGAGAAAAACAAAGGCTATCAAAATACCTTCTTAGCAAAACACATTATAATATAGTCAAGTCTCAGTTGTCTATAATCTTTAGCCAACTAACAAAGTCGAATCAATAACTTTGAAGAACATCATGTGAAGGTACATTGATTAGAATTATTTACATAATGTAGTTTGCATATCACATGGTTAGTTGCCAGTAATTGTACATCTAATATTAACTCATTACACAGTGTGACTTAAAGTTGTATTCTGAGAAGACCACAATATATTTTTTTTCTGTATAATGTGACAGAATATATATATGGGGAAACAAATCGGTATATGTTGTCAATATCAATGTGAATCACGCACCAAAATCGTATGAATCAGAACCAAATGGTCTTACGTAATGAGTTTGGATTAACAAACATGACAAAGCACAGATGGCTGGCGACAACTGTCGTTTTTGTGGACCCCCGGAATAGATTTAGAATTATAGATCCACAGAAGTGGATACTATTATTAACGACATTTGAAAACAATAAAATATGCTGACATTATGTTTTCAGACGACGATTTCGTAATTCACACATAAGAGGAAAGAAAATATTTACACGCTGGACAAAATGCATCATTAAACTATTACAGTGTAATACTCATTATGCACATTAGTTAATTTATATGCAGAGATTGAAAGAAAAACAAGTACAAGTAGGAAACTAAAATTAATCACTATAAAGTACTCACCAAGTCTGGCATTAGTAGATAGGTATGGATATATACAATGTTTAAGATACAGACAGAATAAAGTATAACAACTATAAACACAGACAATTCAGACTAATTATAACTAACTAATAACTAATAAATAACTAATTATTTCATAAAACAACCATCTAGACAAACTAGGTACGAAAACACAAAATAACATACTTGATTTCCAATTTAAAACACTAAGTGTCTATAATCAATATAATGTGTGTAACTGTGTGTCAGTGTGACTGTATAATTCTCTGTATTCTCAATGTAACACAGATAATCTTTTATCCATTCAACCACAATATTCAACAGCTTGGTCTGATCTACATATATGTCTAGTTAAAAAAACGCTAGACATTTGGGGATAATTAAAAAAGACAAAATAAGAAATTTGGGATTTTAAAAACGCCACTGTTATTGATTCTGCATACTTAGTAGTTAATATATAAAACAAAAACAATATAGGGTGATGTGCTGGTTTAGGAGAGTTTACCAAAAGTGGCACTCTGTAACTTTGAAGTGTACTAGCCTGCATGAAAAGTGTAAAAAAATGTTGAAATCATGATATATACATGAATTTATGAAAAATGATAATCAGAAGGAAATTGCACTGGTTAGGCATCATGACTGAGATAATCCCGGTCATCACCTTTGAGTGTAAATGTATGTGGCAGGATAGCAACTGGTGCTAATGAACGCTTGACCCTGTAACTGTAGAAATATACAATGTATGTATCATATAGATGCATGAATGATATCAGTTGTATATACACTGTATATATCTATCTATCAGCCTCACTGTTAATCACTTTTGTTACAGTTGACAAATAATAGAAGTAGATCCATGTCCTAATAAGTTATTTAAAAACATTTTTAAAAATTACAGTAATTTGTATAGACTGACTTGTTGGATTATCATTCATTTCTTTCACTGATGTTTTTCTCAGATGTCTGATTCGCAGATACATGTAATCATCAGTGGTATTTATTTAAGACAGCAATCCAGTATCTTAACCAGTAGTAGTTAGTAGCAAGAATTTTATAAAGTAGACTGCAGTAGGCTCTAAGGGATGATTATATACATTGTAATATACTGTGGAACGAGAAATTATTTGAGAAAAATATATACTGTATGCATGAATATTTTATTTGCCCGATATATATCTTAGATATGATGTTGGGAGCGCTATCTTTTCCTCAGTACCATGCATACGATTAGTGGGGAATGACAAAAAGATTGGAAAAGTCACAAAATTTCAACTGTGCAAAATTGAAACGCTTGACTCTTACACGAAAATAACGATAATAATTTCCAGTTCTACAGTATGAATGCACTTATACTCCCAGGGTATATGACTGGATTGAAAAACAATGACACAAAACGAGATCATGTTTTCTTACAACTAAGGTGTAAATTAAACCTACGACTGATTGGCATCGATGTTAATGATGACTTTCAATGTGATTCTTCCTCTACACATAGGACACTCAGAAATTGTAGATGAGCACTGGTAGCAGCAACACACATGTCCACATGGCAGGAACACCATATCAGACTGAAATAAAAAATTATGAGAACTTATACAGCAGTATGATTACGACTATATTATATCATAGATAAACTACACTCTGAGAGAGAAAGCATCATTTTGGGGTATTATCTATCTACGACAGGAACATAAATAGTAGGTCTGAATAACTATTAGATAAATTAGCAAATATGATAGCCAAGGCTGACTGTCACATGACATGACAGAAACACCAGGTAGTACATTAAAATTTTCACCACCAGTTCCTTCTTTCCATCACAAATTCACAAAAAAGTCCCATTTATAGTCTGCATTTTCCTTCAGAAGATCGGGACAAAAATAGCCAAATTTTTTGAGTCAAAACTGAAAATTGAATCATATTCTATCTGTTGGCTCCAAAATTATTGTTCATTTCCAGAAATATTGAAGAATATAAGAAAAAAAATGGAAAACAGTTTGGTGGTGAAAGGGTTAACCTTGTAACTCCACAATCTTTATACAGGATTGGACAGGAGTAATATTAGCACATATCATGTACAACTGAAATAAACTGAGTATGTACACTGATCAATTCATCTACTAATTTAAAGATGTATGGCAATTTCAGCTTAGATGATTCATTCAGATCAAGACTGATGCTGATCTGAAACACATGGATGAAAATAGCTGTAAACCATGGAGGGCATTGTTTCTTACCATTTTATCCATACATACTACACACTCTGCGTTGACATGTGTTGTGATCTCTTCGATTGGTGGGGCTGTCGGCTCAGCAGCTGATGGCGTTGCTGATTTAGTGGGTTGTGAATTAACATCTAACCAAGGTTGGTCTTTCATTTCTTTTGTACGATACTCATCTATCGCCAATAATAAGGCCTTCCGTAAACCAACTTCATGTACTCCCATCTAGAAAAGATAAAATTGAAGCATCAATATATAGTTCTTTTTTTTTATTTAAATTCATAAAAATAAAAATAGCATAACTATAATCTGTACATCCTTTTCCATTGAGAACATAAATTAAATAACAAATGTATGGATGGATAAAAACAATATCTCTTCTTTGCATGGTAAATATGTGTATAAAATCCTGAAACAATGTATTATTTAAGCAGTTTGCACAAAAAATAGTTATTTTAATTCCTAGAAAAATTAATTAATATTCATATTCCTCAAATAATACCACATGTACTGTAATGGTATCAATGTTTCTCATAGAATAATATAACTTGATGGTCTACAAAATTCTTGAAAAATAATGGTACAGCAACATATCTAAAATTTGGCAAGAAACACACTAGCCAATGTGTCACCTCAACTAATACTACATATAGTGTATTAATCGCATTGTATCTTATCAAATAATACAGCATAAATTGTAAAATATTTCTCAAATAATAGTTTAGTAATATATTCAAGCAAAATAAAATACTAGTCATAATTGAAAAGCAGAAAAAGACTGCACTTGGCACATTTTTGATTGACTGGTATACTCATAACAACTTATAGGTTTACTACACTTGTTGAATCAACAGATCTCAGAAAGTTTATTACTAACATCTGATTCCCATTACCAGCAATATAAATGTCTTCACTCTGTTTACTTACTGTATTTCTACGTCTAAAAATGTTTTATTTGGGTCAACTTTTACCCTACATCTTGAAATATGCACTTGCTAGTTTCACCAAAATTGAACTTTGTTGACATTTTATAGCGATTAGTAAGATTACTAATTTTGAAGCTGGCCCCTAAAAAATTGCTTGAGTTATTGTAACTACAATAAGATGATAATTTTAAATGAAATTTAATGAATATCTGGAAAAATATATATAGAACATGTACCATAAATTGAATATAATATAATATCCAAGTTTGAAAAACATTAAATAAAAAGTAATTGAGTTATTGTAACAACGAGGAAAAGTTTTTATGACAAAGGCAATGATGACAACACTGACAACAAGGACTGACATTTTCTCATCATATACCTTGCCTTTCATGTACAATGATACAGACAAAATATAAAGCAGTAGAAGAAACCTATATACGCTGAGCTTATAGTCTGTCAAAGCTAGTCATCGTTCCTTAATTATTCCCAGCTAGGGAGAAGAAATCTACATGCATATGAATGTAGCAATGACAACTTGCATTCTCACCAAAGATTACCAAAATCATTAATATTCATGAAATATCGAGTCTCACTTTGGGGGGGGGGGCACACTTTTTTCCAAACATTTTCCGCTATGTACAGGATAGAGTTAATTATTTTAACTTACAATCTTAAGGTCTTCTTCAGTCATAACACACAAGGTTTCAATTGATACTCGGTGTCGTGCAAACTGAGGAATGTAGTCATCAGCTTTAGCCTTTGATAAAATCTTCATCACGGCAATTTCTAAATTGTGCTCCTGTAAAACAAAGTAGACAGTAGAATAATTAGGGTGCACGTCTGTCTGTGTTTGTTAAAAGCCAGAGCAGCTTATTCTATAGTGAAGATAATGATTATTATTTTTAGATCATTTTTACATCACACTGTTCTATAAATATATCTACAATGGCTGAGAATCAAGTTTAATTGTAAGAAGTTAAATCAATCAAGCATAAACAAAAGTTTTCTACTTATTGTTGATAGAGGGCACTGTTGACATAGCCTAGCAGTCACAGCATAATGATAGGTTGACTTACATGGTCAATCAATGACTGTGGTTTTTGATCCAATAAACGTTGATATTGCACAAGCCAGTAATCAACAGCATCATCTTCCCTTTTTCTTTCCATTTCAAGCTGTCAAATAAAAACAAAGCAATAGTTTTAATCAGTTTGCAGTGTGCGGAAAATCATAATTTTATACTGACAGGGAATGCATGGAAACACACAGATTACTGCTTAAAATTTACAATACCAAAAAATGGTTGATAAAAGAAATAATTATAATTTGGGAATTTTTTTACAAAGAACAAACAGAAATGATTCGGATTTAATGTTGCCTCACAACACTGGGTGACAGGTCAAATAATGCACAAAAAATACTAGGGTCAGAGGTCAAATGAAGCACAATAACACTAAGGTCACAGGTCAAATAAAGCACAATAAAACTAAGGTCTTACATTTTTGTCTAATAAAGTACAACAACATTAGAGTCACAGGTCAAAATGAAGTACAACACTAGGGTCATGGGTCAAATGAAGTACAATAAACTAGGATCACAGGTCAAATGAAGTACAATAACATTATGGTCACAGGTCAAATAAAATACAACAATAGGGTCATGGGTCGAATGAAGTACAATAACACTAAGGTCACAAGTCTGATGCAGTACAGCAACATTAGGGTCACAGGTCAAATAAAGTACAAAACCATTAAGGTCACAAGACAAATAAAGTAAAACACCAGGGTCAGGGGTCAAATGAGGGACAATAACATTAGGGTCACAGGTTAAATGAAGTACAATAACACTAGGGTTAAATAAAGTACATTTACACTTGAGTTAGAAAAAGTATAATAGTAAATTATAATAAGAAACATAATTGAACAACCATTAACCTCATTAGAAGTGCAATAATAAGGATTACATACCAGTCTTTTCTTAAGTTCTTGTTGTCTGCTATCTTGTTCATCCATCAGCTGGAGCAGCATATTTGTGAGTTCACTACGTCTCATCTGAAGTATATGCTGTTCAGTCTCTGATCTCTCATTCCTCTTCTCCCACTCTATTAGTGACAACTCAGCTAACTGCTGCTGAATCAACGCAATCTACAGGTACACATATTTCAAATTATGTAACACATACAGTTGTACCTCTTACAATGTTACTGTAAAAATCTGTATTAGAAGCTGCGGCTTCTATTAAAATGGTACAATGCAACAGAAGGGATGCGGCTTCTATTAAAATGGTACAATGCAACAGAGAGAATGCAGCTTCTATTACAGCATCTACACATATGAGAAATGATGAAGTTTTGGTTCTCAATTTTTCAAAAAGAATGGGTGTGACTTCTATTACGGAAGCGGCTTCTAATACATATTTTACGGTACTTTTGATGAGATACACTTCTTTCAATTGACAATTGACAAAAGAATGCTGTGAAACGTTGCCACCACATGTGACTGTTGGCAGGATAAACTTACAACTAGTACATGTACTGATAAGTATGAATTGCCTAATTTTGAATATGAAATGGTCAAAATCAAACACGACGGCGTATACTCTGGTGCATTTCCATACTTATCTTAGATAAGTATCATGACACCTCTGGTAATGAGATGGTTTTTAACATTGATAAAAAATGATCCCACTTATGAATACATGCTCAGAAAATAGAAGGACCACTCACCTGAGCATTAACACGCTGGTTTTTGGCATCTTTCTCCAGTTGCAGGGCTTCAAAGGCTTCCATTTGAAACTTTTCCTGTGAAAGTTAAACATAATAAAAATAATGAATCTTTACAATTGCTGAAAGATATTAAATAATTCAATTAGAATAAACTATAAGATGGCAGCAAGCTGAGTGAGTCAGAAAACACTAATAATATTCATTGGTTTACTTACTTAGTTCATTTACTGCCTAAAGCAGACAATATCCTAATGTACGCAAGACATAACCACCTTTTGTGCATTCAAAAGTACAGTAAACTCTGAGAATAACTTAACTCCTGCACTGACTTGGCTTTTTCACTTAAATTATCTTGTCACTCGGATTTCAACTTATTATTTGTGAAATTTACCTGTAACGTTGATACAAGGCATTTTTTTGACAGATTCCTCTGCATAATTTAGATATGTGTTGGTTTTGAAAACAATTAAAGTTTGCTTTGAGGCAGATGAAAGCTTACTGAATGTTATATTACGCTTTGACTGAGCTGTAACAGTGTACATACAACGTCATAGCCAACTACTACTAAATATGCTAAAATCAGTCACAAAAGTGATAATTATATTGAATACTACAGTGCATGTGGAAGGTATTGCCTGGCACCTCCCACAGAATAATACTAGGACATAATAAAAACCATTCGCTGCCTATTATTCTCATTGGACGTTCAGTAACACATGCAACGAATATACAAACAAGGATTGGTACATGTATGGTTTATCAAATATGTCCCCAAATTTGCATGAATTATTTAAACCATCCATGATTCTTTAACGTTAATAAATCCTTCTTATTTTCATCTTGCAAATTACCTATCAGTAAGTTTTTGTCTTTTGTTTGTAAACGTTCTATGCTAAAGTACACTTATCATGTACTGTTGATTTCTTTATCAACTGCGTATCGATTAATTTTGTTGTTGAAATTTTGGGCTGTTATAATTGAAATAAAGGCTCCACAATGCCCATTATAGCATGACAACAGAGCTTGAACAGGGATGTTTGCTTAAATCTATTGCTTGATTGCATCTTGCCGATTATTGTGCAAATCCGCTTCTTTGCTCTGTTTTCATACAAAAATGGGCAATGTGTCATGCTTTATTCCTTGCATATACATACTTACATCTTTCATTAACTGCTTCATCAGTGAATCTTTATTCATCTCCTTGGCATGCAGCAATAACTCCAACTTGTCAGTATTATTACATTCACTGAGAAGATAAAATAAGAAGAGTGATTGTGAGTTTAAACAGCACATGTCAGCAAAATGAGTGATTTTTAGGATTTTCTTTGTCTATTTGTGTGAATACGAGATGCTACAGCTCTGTAAAACCTGAAATGAATAAATTATTGAATGAAATGAATGCACGTACATGTACATTACAGTGATATACATGCACAATAAAGAATTAGAAACATACAGCATGGATAGATTCTTTGTAAACTTGTTAAGATTATATATTGAGAGTAAAGCCTTTAAGAAGTCAAATAAGAATTTAGTTCACCACTTGAGGGCACTATTTATTATTGACAATTCTCACAACTATAACTTTATGCAAGTCAGAACACGCATTTAGTTCACCACTTGGGGCACCAGATGCTCCCTGTTTAGGGGCGTGATCACCTGGGACAAAGGTGAGACTAACATTTGTTCCTTTGTTTACTTCTTAGCGGCTGTGTACCTGTGGGTTTATTCTGTGTGTATTTGGATGTTCTAATCTTGGCGAACATATGTACATTACAGTTATATACATGCACAATAAAGAATTAGGAACATACAGCATGGTGTTTCTCCAGTGATTTCTCTAGGCGCAATCCAAATACAGTAGATGTGTCTTGTTTACCTGAGATTTGCAAGAGGTGGCCAACATGTTAGTTTTTTTCATGTGGTTGATTACTGGCATGTTGATTTCCCATTTTTAAGCCATGTTTTCAACTTTCTTCGTCATTTTCATATAGCAATCTCGTCATATGTTAACATTGTCGTCTATGGAAATTCAATTAGTGGTATGAGCCCATAACTTTAGAGACAAGTAAGAACAAAACCAGTTCACCACTTGGGGGCGCCATTCATTATTACTGATAATTTTGATCACTATTAGAGTTTTCTGATTAAATGGTTTTAGATTGTTCACAAAAATTATCTTAAAAATTTCGACTCGCCAAACACACGGCAATTCATTACAAAATGAAATGGCAGTGAAGTCATGTTTGATAATGGGCTAAATGACATATAAAAAGTGTTAAAAAACATTGTTTGCTTTATACAAAAATTGAAGATGTACTATATAATAATGGCTGACACCAATTTAAATATCCAAACTTACCCTATTTGTGTTGTTTTAACAATCTCAACCTTCCTAGCTTCATAGGTCTGACGTAATAACTCTAAGTTGTAAGTTTCTTTCAGCATGACATGCATAGACTCTGTACAGAATCAAATAAACAACCATTAGAGAAGATGTAAATTAATGACCAACAGACAGGGAAAAACATTGCAGCACATCCCATCTTTCATACATTATTCAATCCATCACTTCAAAACATCACACATTATCTGTCATTGTCATGTAAGATTCACCATGCAACAAATTGAACATTTACGTATTATTTTTTTTCTTCATGCTCTGAGATAGAAAGAAAATACAAAAATGCAAAAATTTAATATGATATTATCAAGATTGTAAATACAAAAAAGTGTTGTCATACAGTTATAACTACTTCACTGAGCGTGTCCTATTTTGTGGTGTAAACTTTCAAATTTACAAAATGTTTGTTAAATAATTATGTATAATGTAATTTGCATTCCGATACACTGATGATTCACAAATAAATATGTTAATTGCAACTGGTAGCTGTTGTCATCATAGCTGTGGTATCTATGGTAGCCATGGTAGCCAGTCGTAGCCATGGTGTTTTAGTGTACCGGTAACACCCACACAAACTGTATGGTCAGCATTTTGTACATGACTTCATTACACAACAAATCAACCAAAACACAAAATAAATACAGCAACTGCTCCACCTTTTTGATCACATTTACATAAACATAAAAAGTCTCTATTCAGTGCTTTGTGACACATATCATGAGACAAAGGTCTTAATTTGTATAGTTATCACAACCAAATTTCTCATAGACTTAATAATATAGGTCCCAATATCGCAATAATAGTTCCAAACAAGCTTGGCCAACTTTTTCAATAGTTGAAAAAGAACTATAATTCACCCTAAAAAATCAAAAACCTTGACACACTAAATAATTTGCTGATTCACAAGCAAGTAAATATGTAATACCCCTCACCCAAGTATTTCTACTGGCATTCTGTGATTCCATGGATGTCAAAGCAACAGAGTTTCACAGACATGTCATTCTTATACATACAATGGTTTAAAAAATGTTTTGTTTTTTTAATTTTCTACAAACCTAAGACATCCTTCTCCCTGAGGTTATTGTGTTCTTCATAAGCAATTTTAAATGTTTCGTCCAGTTCCATTCTACAATGTAAAGAGATCAATATAATGTAAACTGTTTTAATATTGCAATAGACAAATTTTCATGGATTTCGTGAGCAGGGATTTTTTTAAACAAGGGAGCAGAGGCGCAGCAACCTGAGGAGCAGATCCTCTGGCAACCATAACATTCTTAATGACCAGGGATCACATGTGGCCACAGTCTTCAACTGTGACTTGTCTGATAGTAATTTTGGCCCCAAGGAGGCCATAAATGCTCCATTTTAACTTATCATTAAATATTTAAATTATCAAAAACTCCACACCCTGGTAGGGAGAACCCTATCTCCCCAACTTGGTGGCGCCGCTGAATTGCAGTGCTCCCTTTTGCATTTTTTTTTCTAGAAAAAAACCCTGGTGAGTCAGTGAGAATGTTTCTTTTCAACTCCAAAATCTTGTCTTCACAAACGTGAACAATTCCTAGCAGCCAATTTACAATAATTAAATATGGTTAAAAAGATATTTGAGTCTGCATTATGTCCAAATATGGTGAACAAATGAAATCATTTCAGCTATTATACATATAATATATTATGACCCCTTAAAACGATATTCTTGGTTGTTATAACCTTATTTGGGTTTGTTTTACATCTACAACCAACCAAGCCAAGCATCGAATGTCTGTTCATCTCAATGAACACACATGCAGACAAGCATGTAAAAAAAAAAAAAAAGTAATGTTCGTCATTTATATTATTTACTTTTACATCCCTTAATACCAGTCAGCAAATTTATCATTGCAACATTATACAGATTCAGGGCCAAGTATATACTCTAATGCTGATATACGGATGAAGGTTTGTTATAATATAGGCTAAAAGACCCTCCAGGTTACCACCAGCATTGCCTTGCTTTTTAGCTTTCTAGCACCATCTGTTCACCCACAAAATCCCATGCTTTTCAAGGGGAGCTATCATATGCACATGCACAAAGGCATTTATTGGCACAAGCATGGTATATATTACCGACATGCTAACTTATTTCAGAACTAGGAGGGCAGCCTACCTCAAAGGAGTCCTGAAAAGGTTTCAATGCTGAATAAATAAAAATCTTAATAATGAAATCAAATGTTCTTTTAGAAAGTTGTATTGTGCATCATTAACATAATGGTTGTTGGAGTCATTGTGCTTTTTTATCAGTTTTCTGGACAAAATATTACTGCTGTATAACCCATTTACATTCACCGGTATTTAATTTCATTATTTTGATGTTTTGAGCATATTCACTGTGGTTTTAAATTAAGTTCACAAACTTGTCAGAGAAACAATAAAATTACACTTCATGCCTATTGCCTATTGAACAAATAACTGTGAGTGAAATGCCGCAGACTGTGATAGTACAAAACTATTTCCTTGAACTCTTTTCAATGTCAAGTCAACTTTTATCCCCTTCCACAAAATAAACACACATACATGTAATGTTTCCCTTATTTTGATCAAACCTGTAGAATTAAATGTATGTCCATTTGGTTCAAAATTATAGAAAAAATCGGTTAAATTAGTCAGGCGAAAAAAAATTATAAAAACTAAAGTTTGGTTCACCATGTGCCAGGTTTAGAAGATATATTATGTCGCAGAGAAAAATAAAATATTTTACCAATCGAGTTGCATTGTTATTAATTTTCGAATAGAGCTAACACTTTTACTGAACAAACACAAATGAACATTATTGTATTATTTGCATACCATCAGAGTTTATGATGTAAAAATATCTGTAAGGGTCAAATATTTGCAACAACATCCTTCGACCTAACAGGTCAAGCCTGATATTCTGAAGCCATGGTCAAATTTGAGGTGTGAGATAATTCAAACTTGACACCAATAATAGAGATTCTCCCAAAAGTGCAAGGTGGGTGCTTAGTCGAGCATGGGTGCCAAGTTGGACAAGTACAGTACATACCGGTATTATTATAAAATAATGGCAGAAAAATAAATTTGTAGTATAATTATATATAACTAACCTTTCTCTTTCAAGTGCTTCCAGTAGTTCTTCAGTCTTGCGAGCCCTAAGCAGTAAGAACATGAATCAGATAACGATTACTATATTCAAATATAAAAACTACAAATTGATTTATATACATAGATCACAAAGGTTAAGCATTGCGTAATGTGATAAATTATTTATAAAAAACCCAAATAGTTGTAATCAGTAACTCAAACACAAACAAAAAATGTTGATTTTTAAAGCCAGCAAATTTAAAAAAAAAAACACGATTGTACTTACTTCTCATTCATTTGCAACAACTGATTCATCAACAACTGGGAGTTCTTCTCAACTGAGAGAAATAACATAAGGTAAACAATTAAAACAGAAGAAACCTAATTGCACTGTATTACTGTGGTTTTGAATTTGTTTGGAAAACCTATAGTCAGCAATATTGTCAGCTATTTAACTGAAAATACAGGTGTGTTGGTTGCAAGCAATGCTGCCTCCAAACTGATAATCTTCTTCTAAAATCCTTAAAGCAACACTGCTTGCAATACAGCTGTATTGTCAGACAATTAACTGATAATATTGCAGAAAAGGAAACATATCATATCCACAGTAACTGTGTAAATCAAGCCTCAGTCAACTAACCATAGAGAATTTCAACAACATAAAATTTAATGGAGTGAACATGAACTCAGCACCTGAATAGATACATACATGCATTATAGCTACAAGAACAATACACTGGTTGGTTGCTCATTTGCAACAGATGCCATATAATCCATGTTTGCAACGACACACAAACATCAATTCAATTCGATACTGACAAGCACAATTGTTGTCACATGTTAATTTGTATGAATCACCAGTAAACTTTCATGTACAGCTAAATTGCTGCCACTGAGTCACAGAAAACATAGGACAGACACACTATTCTGTTCTTAGCTATGCTACGCTATGACGACAGTTCACATCAATATACCTTGGTATAACAATGATACCAGCTGCATCTGTTCTTGGTGGCTTTTCTCAACCTGTGATCTGATGCCTTTATCCATTTTATCTTGATCCTATAAACATAAATGATTCTTGTTTAAACAATTCCTGTTGCAATTAAGGGAAAGTCATTCATGCCTAAGATAAAGTAATATGGATGAACTAATGAACAAATGAATGGAAGAAGACCGTATTACCGTAAAAGTCGTTGTTTTCAAAGAGGGACTGATAACTGTAAGAATAATATTACATAACTAATGAGTATAAGACAATTAACTATTAGTGCCATACCTCTGCAATGATGTTAATTATATCTTCTCTTTGTTCAGAAGCTTTCACTATTATCTCAGCTTGTTCTTTCTGGTGTTCCTCTAACTGTCGCTCCAATTCTACAGCTTGCAAACGCTTTTGTTCCTACAAAGACAAGTGATGAGTACCGGGGTATTACATTATTTGGTAATGACATGACCCAGGGTAACCTCTTCCTCCATCATCACCCTCATATATACAGCCTGGCCACCCCTATAAAGAACAATAGTGGACATCACCCACCTTGGCTTTCTCGTACTGTGTAAGAGTATCTTGCAATGCATTGTCGTCATCTAGAATTGCTTTCAAGGAGTTAGCACTGAAAGTGGTGGTCATTGTTGTTGGCACTTCCAACAGGTTGAGTAGAAACTTGGAAGGTGGATAGTATTCAGTTCCAGCAACTGTCAACAAAATAAACAAATGCTTTTAGATTAAAGCGCTACAATTGACACACTGAGCAATTACATAAACTGAAAAAAATACAATATTTATAGGCAATTAAACAGTAGCTGTGCAATGACTTTAGAGGGCAGCCACAGTGATTTATATCAGCTTGGGCACTCATAATATCATATGCTTCTTCATAATCAATGTCATTTACTGCAATGTGATAACTATGTATAAAAGAAACTCATGTAGAAGTATCTGGAGTAACAGTATCACATGTAATGGCATTTTAGTTTTAGTTTCAGGAACTATTTCAGTGAACACTGATACATCTCTGATGTGAATATGCCTACCTAGACAGACATACATCTCTAATGTGAATATGCCTACCTAGACAGAGGTACATCTCTGATGGGAAAATGCCTACCTAGACAGAGGTACATCTCTGATGTGAATATGCCTACCTAGACAGACGTACATCTCTGATGTGAATATTCCTACCTAGACAGACGTACATCTCTAATGTGAATATGCCTACCTAAACAGACGTACATCTCTAATGTGAATATGCCTACCTAAACAGACGTACATCTCTGATGTTAATATGCCTACCTAGACAGACGTACATCTCTGATGTGAATATGCCTACCTAGACAGACGTACATCTCTGATATGAATATGCCTACCTAGACAGAGGTACATCTCTGATATGAATATGCCTACCTAGACAGAGGTACATCTCTGATATGAATATGCTTATCTGGACTGAGGGGCATTACTGATGTGAATATGCCTATTTGAACAGAGGTAAATCTCTGATGTGAATATGCCTACCTGAACAGATGTAAATCACTGATGTGGATATGCCTACTTGAACAGAGGTACATCTCTGATATGAATATGCTTACCCGAACAGAGGGACATCACTTATGCAAACATGCCTACCAGAACAGAGGTAAATCTCTAATGTTGATATGCCTACTTGAACAGAGGTACCGGTAAATCTCTGATGTGGATATGCC